CCACGCGCATCAAAAGGACCTTGCCCAGGATGCCTCGGGTCTTGTCCGACCATGCCACTCTTGGTATGGTAGCTGCAGCAACATCTTCAAAAACGTGAGCTGTGCTCAGTGAATTACGTGCTACTCACGCGCATCAGTGGGGGTCTCACCCTGATGCCTCGGGCCTCGACCGACAAAGCCACTCTTGGCATGCAGTATCTGCTTCGAAACTTGAGCAGTGCTCAGTGAGCTACGTGTCACTCCTCATCAGCCCGAGAGTCATGCTCGGGACTCTTGTCCAATACATCTTCGGTGTTCGAGAGCTCGGATAGTCCAATATCCAGCACATTGACCGTCCTGGGCCAGTGCCTACGCCAACAGCGCTTCTGCTTAGTTAATCTTTTTTCCGTAAAGGAAAAGAGTTATCATTTTCATGAAGGGTATCTGTATATTTGCATCTCCTTTTGTGTTTATCCTCCATTTCTGAGAAAAATATTGGTGTCGCATTGAAGCAGAGCACAAACGCTAGCCGTGAGGGTCAGTTTGAACGCGGGTGGCCGATGCAAAGCTGAGTATGAAGACAGCAATTTATTCGTTGCCGCGAAATACCGTGATACTCCCAGATGTAACACACGGGGCAACACAAAATATTTGTGTCCTCCGTGCTATGGTTACTTTCGTTTAAGACATAACAATGGTCAAGATTCACGCAAAGTCGACTCCTGACGAGTAAACATCGCGTCACAGCAGTTACATTCCGGCGGATTTGAAAAGAACTAGAATATTATGTACCTCGAGGAGGTCGGCATTAATGGGACCCAGCACTAAAGACGACTTGATAATAAAGTAGTTTTAATGCCGGGATTCTTTGATGTCGGCATCAATCATGTAAATCCTCAAATAGTATCGCTAGATTCAAGAACGTCGTGCGATTCCGGATAACGTGCGAATGTTGAGAAAGAAGAGGCTATGCGGATTCCATCGATCGACTGGATGTAAAAAATGGGCACCTTCGAGAAATGGTTCGGTAAGTTACGTCAATGGGGAAGCAAAAGCGCATTTAGCGCAGGCATAAAGTTGCGATAGCATCGGTCCAGGACATGGAATTGTCCATTTTTAGCTACGATGCTGTTAAGTGTATGATATGAGCTCAGAAGGCAAAAGTGACAGTGGTCTGCGGATTCGAGATTAGACAGGAAATACCGATCGTATAACGCGAATCTCCCAAGTGTCTCATCGACAAGACAGGAATTCACGAAAGTATGCCGCGGTCCCAGATGGTATCGCCAAAGATACGATTGATAGCAGGTAAAAGTTGTTGTACCCATAAGTTTAGATTGGACAAATAAGAGCGACTGTGCATCGCGGTTGCCACGTTTAATTACGTGGTGACGAGCTGTATAGCTTAGCGCCGCGCTCGGCAGACGCCCATCGTGCTGGGTAGTGAAACTCCACAGGTTGCGGCAGGAAAATGATCACATGTGAGTAAAGTGATTGAAGTAGTGCGATGAAATGTTTTTCTCCGTTTGTTATCCCACGCAGACGGTAGATTCACAGAGGCGATGCAGTTATACTGGTGAAAGAGTAAGTGGTTGAGCCCGTTATTGCGGGTATGAGACAATGAGTGTGCGGAGTCCTCAAAGATCATTAATTTTTTTTAATCTTTGTTATAGGGGGGGACACGGCGACGAGAGACTTTTCGCGGTTGTTGCCGCCAGATAGGGTAAAGGGCCAGGAGATTAGCCTAGTTGCCGACGCAATTTTTTCTGCTTCAACTACAATGGTCCTTACCAGCGGAACTGCGTGACACCATTGACGCTATATACCAGGCAAAACACGAAGCGGGTTTGGTGAAAGAAGAACCCTATCCGACCTGGCGCTAAAGTTTTGCGCGGCAGTAAGGCTAAAACAAGGGCTCAAATATGCATGAATCAGCGTTTGTGCCGAAATGGCTGCTTCCAAAAAAGTTATACAGTCGATATTCCGGCGCGAACGCCGATTACAGCTGCAAAGTAGCATGATTATTGAATCTTGCTTATTTTTCTTAACCTAGTTGACGAAAATTTGTCAGTTTTTCATGCGATACAGTAGAATCCTTTGTGCTGCTGTGTTAGAAAGAGGTCATACCCCATTTAATTTGGGGCTCATTGGCAGAAAGATGAATCACAGCAGCTCTAAGTCTAAGATCATCAGTATCACCGGTTGACGCCTTCAATACCCTACCAATGTGAACTTGGGTACGCTGTATGGTGTCATCGGAGTGATTGTAGTTGTTAAAATTTGGAAGTGCGTGACGTAATTTGAAGTCGCCGAGCCGACGAATTATCAACAATTATGTGCTGCTCGGTTTCCAAGATTTAATTTACCTAGATAGTGGTTAGGGTATAGAAAAGAAGAAATAAACAGTGCATTATTTGCTGGCTCCGCAGCACGACAGCAGCTCCAGTTAAAGGACGTCTATATTTGTTATTATAGACAGGAGACTTATCAATTTGCTTGGC